GATCTAATGAACAGGATTTTCAGAGAGTTCTTGGATCAATTTGTCATCGTGTTCATCGATGATATCTTAGTCTACTCAAAAAGTAGAGAAGAACATGCTCATCATCTTGCCCAAGTCTTACAGATACTCAGGGAAAAGAAGTTGTATGCAAAGTTGAGCAAGTGTGGATTTTGGCTCGAGCAAACCGCCTTCCTAGGACATGTTATATCGAAGGAAGGGGTGTCAGTGAACCCCGAAAAGGTTGAAGCGGTACTTGGTTGGGAAAGGCTGATAACAGTTAAGGAAATTTGCAGTTTCCTGGGGATGGCAGGTTATTACCGTCGGTTTGTCGAAGGGTTCTCTAGTCTAGCAGCTCCTCTAACCCGACTCACAAAGAAGAATGCAAAGTTTGAATGGAATGAGAACTGCGAAAGGAGTTTTTCAGAATTGAAGAAACGACTGACTACTGCACCCGTGCTGACTCTACCGAGTGGATCAGGAGGGTATACAGTTTATAGTGATGCCTCCTATCTGGGCCTGGGTTGTGTCCTGATGCAGCATGGAAAGGTTATAGCATATGGGTCTAGACAGCTAAAGAATCATGAGAAGAACTATCCTACCCATGACTTGGAGCTTGCCGCAATCATACACGCCTTGAAAACCTGGCGCCATTATTTGTATGGAGAGACCTTTCAGATCTACACCGATTATAAGAGTTTGAAGCACATCTTCACTCAGAAGGATCTCAACATGCGTCAGAGAATGTGGATGGAGCTCCTCAAGGACTATGATTGTGACATCCTATACCATCCAGGTAAGGGCAACGTAGTAGCTGATGCCCTCAGCAGGAAAAGTGCAGGCACCCTAGCCCATTTGATGGTTTCAGAGTGCAGGTCCATTGGGGCCACGCAGCAGGTTTGACTGCGAGATCTGAAGAGGGCCACATGTTTGGGCCACCTAGCAATCCAACCCGAGTTAATCCAAAGAATAAAGGAAGCCCAGTCAGTTGATCCCGCCCTAGTAACCCGCAAGAAGGATGTAGAACAGGGAGTGAGCTCAGAATTTCAGATCTCTGCCGACGGATTGATTCGTTTCAAGGACAGAGTGTGTGTCCCAAGCGACAGTGAGTTAAAAAGAGACATCATGACGGAGTCCTATAGTTCAAGGTTTGCCATGCATCCAGGAAGTACAAAAATGTACCAAACTATGCGACCTCGGTTCTGGTGGAATGGGATGAAGAGAGATATAGCTGACTTTGTATCCAAGTGCTTGGTATGTCAACAGGTCAAAGCAGAACATCAACGCCCAGGTGGGTTACTTCAGCCTTTACCGATTCCAGAGTGGAAATGGGAACATATCACCATGGACTTCGTATCGGGACTACCCAAGGCACGATCGGGACATGATGCTATATGGGTAATTGTTGACCGACTCACTAAGTCTTCCCACTTCCTGGCCATCAGAATGACTGATTCTTTGGACAAGTTGGCAAGAATGTATATCCGGGAGATAGTCAGACTGCATGGAGTCTCAGTGACAGTGGTATCTGACAGGGACCCCAGATTCACTTCTCGGTTTTGGAATAGTTTCCAGCAAGCTATGGGAACAAAGCTGTCTCTTAGTACTGCCTTCCACCCCCAAACTGATGGACAATCAGAGAGGACAATTCGTACGCTGGAGGATATGCTCCGAGCTTGTGTCCTTGACTCCGGGGGCCATTGGGACTACCATATACCCCTGATAGAGTTTGCCAACAACAACAGCTACCAAGCAAGCATCGGCATGGCCCCATATGAGGCGCTATACGGGCGCCCGTGCAGGTCACTGATTTGTTGGGAGGAAGTGGGCGATAGAAGATTGTTCGGCCCGGAGTTGGTAGAGGAGACCACGTCCAAGATAGTTAAAATCAAGAAGAATATTCAGACAGCTCAGAGTAGGCAGAAGAGTTATGCAGATACCCGGAGGAGAGACCTAGCTTTTGAGAAAGGCGACTGGGTGTTTCTTAAGGTCACTCCTTTCAAGGGAATTAGTAGGTTCGGCAGGAGGGGAAAATTAAACCCCAGATATATTGGACCCTTTGAAATCTTAGACAAGATTGGTACCGCTGCCTACAGACTTGCACTGCCTCCTGAGCTCTCCCGGGTTCATAACGTGTTTCACGTATCTATGCTACGTAAGTACAACCCGGACCCTTCTCATGTCTTGGCTCATGAACCGCTTCCACTCCAAGAGGACTTGTCTTATGAAGAAGTACCGGTCGGTATCATGGACCGAGAGAGCAGAATACTCCGCAACCGGGAAATATCATTTGTAAAGGTCGTGTGGCAGAACCACACGCCCAGGGAGGCTACTTGGGAACTGGAATCAGAATTTAGAGCCCAGTATCCCCATCTGTTCGATCAAGAGTAAGATGCAAATTTGGGGGA